GGCTATAAAAAAGCAAGCACTCGCATTGTTCGGGGCCCTCTTGTATACTGTGTAATGGAGGGACCAGGTTCGAACTTGTCGTAAAGATCCTTGCCGCTTGGCTTTGACTCTGGACTCTGGTGGTCTTCTTTGGGGAACAGAGGGTCTGGGCATAACAAATTCATGTAATTAAACTCTGCCTTAGAGCCCTGGACCTCCTGACAGAGGGTTACAGGCCTGCTCAGAGCAGAGACAGGAGTTAGGAGCTAGCCCTGGAAGATTGGCAGACTCTGTCTAAAGTCAAGGAAAAGAGTGAATCGAGGCCTGGGTAGAGGGGCATGTGGGCTTTAGGGAAAGGATTTTGGGGCTGGGCACATAGAGGAAGACCCTAAATCCCCAGTTCAAGGGTGGAGCTCAGAGATCAAAGCCTGCCTAGCTCACAATAGGGCCTGAGGCCATTTTTCAATTCATTGTCTCTGCCTGGCCCAGGAACTGCATCGGGAAACAATTTGCCATGAACGAGCTGAAGGTGGCCACGGCCCTGACCCTGCTCTGCTTTGAGCTGCTGCCTGATCCCACCAGGATCCCCATCCCCATGCCACGAGTTGTGTTGAAGTCCAGCAGTGGGATTCACCTGAATCTCAGGAAGCTCCCTAACCCCTGTGGGGACAAGGGCCAGCTCTGAGGGCCTTCACCTGCCATCCTCTCTTCCTGACCTCTGCTGCTGTCCCCTGCCTGTCTGCCCACATCCTGCTTTCTATCTGGCCACGTGCCCTTCTTCTCACCTGTTTGCTGTCCTATTTCTGTCTTTCAGTCTGTCTTCCCATTTCTCATTCACCTTTCTCCAGGCTCCCTACGTGCTTGTCTATCTATCTCCTACCCACCTGCATCATTGGCTTTCCATCCAACACCCAGTCTTCTTCCTGCCCTCCAACCTGTCTGCCACTACACCTGTCTATCTCCTGTCTGCTTGTCTGTACCATGTAGGCATTTTCTATTGCTGCTGAAATAAACTACTACACTTTAGTAATTTTAAATAATAGAAATGTATTATCTTATAGTTCAGTAAGTCAAAGTCAGAAATGGGTTTCACTGGATGAAAACAAGTTGCAGACAGGGTCAACCCTTTCCAGGGGTCTAGGGAAGAGTCTTACCCCTTACTCTTTCAGTTCCAGAGCTGCCTTTTTTTTTCCTTGGTATTGGCCCCTCTCCGTCTTTGAAGCCAACAGCATTTCAAATCTCTTTCTCTCTTACTGTCCTCACATCTCTTTCCTTCTAGTAAGGACTTTTGTGGTTCCATCTAGTTCATTCAGATAATCCAGAATAATTTCACCATCTCAAAATCCATTGCTTACTACTTCAAAGTCCATTTTTATATATGCCATCACATGATAATGGATTCCATGTATTAGGATGTGGACATCATCTAGGGTCTTGATTCAGCCTAGCACAGTTCCTGTCTGATTGTCATTCTATATGTTCATCTACATTTGTCTTGTAAGGTAGCTGGCAATCTGATTGCTATTCACAGAACCCCTCTGTCTTCACTCTTCTATGGAATAAAGTGCACAAGGTGTATGTGTCTGCATTTCCTTCAAAGGAGAGAGACAGGAGAGAAGACACCAAGGGGGAGGAAATATAGTGGAGACAAGTCTCTTCAGAGGAGGAAAAAGAGAGTTGATATCTTCGCTGTGGTGTAAGGACCCCAGAAGGGATTAACCCAGCTTACCCTGCTTCATACAATTGCATGCCTGTGACCCATGATGCCCACACCATACCCAGCTCCTGAGGCTTTCTTGGCAGTTTAGATAAAGGATTTTTCTCTAGGAGATCAGAGGGAGAAGCTCACATCTATAGGGGAAAGATTCCAGACCTCTATTCCATTCAAGATTTAGCTTTCCTCATATGAGATGAATCAGAGCACGGCTGAGCTAAGGACCTATCTTAGTGTGTTTTGTTTTCCTGTAACAGAGTACCTGAGGCTGAGTAATTTACAAAGAAAAGAGGTTTCTTTGGCTCGTGATTCTGACGGCTGGAGGGCCCAAGATTTGGCAGCTGAATCATGCTGCTTTCACCCATGATAGAAAGAATGAGAAGCAGCCATGCACACAGATCACATGGTGAGAGAGGAAACAAGAAAGAGACACCAAGAAAGCCGCACTGTTTTCAGGAGCCACTCTCCTGGGAATACAACCATTCCACCTAGAGTGAGAACTCACTCACACCTGCAAAGTAGGAAGGGGACAGTAATTTATTTATTTATTTTATTATTATTATCATTTTCTGAGATGGAGTTTCACTCTTGTTGCCCAAGCTGGAGTGCAATGGCATGATCTCGGCACATCACAACCTCCACCTCCTGGGTTCAAGTGATTCTCCTGCCTCAGCCTCCCAAGTAGCTGGGATTATAGGCATGTGCCACCACACTACACCTGGCTAATTTTGTATATTTAGTAGAGACGGGGTTTCTCCATGTAGGTCAGACTGGTCTCTAACTCCTGACCTCAGGTGGTATACCTGCCTCAGCCTCCCAAAGTGCTGGGATTACAGACATGAGCCACCATGCCCGGCTGGGGACAATAATTTATTTATGAAGGATCCATCCCCATGATCCAAACACCTCCTCACTATGATGCATCTCCAAATGGTGTCACACTGAGGATGAAATTTCCAACAAGAGTTTGATCAATGACACAATCCCAGCCATAGTGGGGCTGCAGTGAGCTTAGCAGGAAAGCCTCAGAGGGCTGGTCTGGCATGAGGGCTTCTGGCACCCAGCTTTTCACAGCTCAAATGAGACTGAGGAGGCAGCCATTCCAACCACATGACCAGGCACCTGTCAACGTCCCTCATATATGAGACCTGCATGCTCCTGACGAGGCTCACAGAGTACACAGTTGTTCAGCAAGCACTAGGAGGAGCCCAGGTAGGCAAAGAGGTTGTCAGACTCCAAGCCCTCCTCCCCATAGCACAACCTCTCAGTAGTCCCCTGCCTCTCTGACTGGCTACCCTGAGGGAGCAGGAGCATCCTTAACCCGGTTCATACTTGGCAACTGCCTGAATGCTGGTGTTCCTAACCCTCAGCTCTGCTTCACCACCTGGCCTCTATGCACTTCCACCAGCTTCACTGGGTTGGTGGCCCTGTTTGCACCAGACTCTCTCAATCCAGACCTTGCTTCTCTTGCTGGATCTGAGCACAGGTGTCCCTTCAACTCCTCCCCATTCCCAGCCCAGGGCCCTGGATGCCATAGACAGATCTTCCTCTGCCTGAGATGTGACATCTCATTCTGATGTACTCTGATGGGCTTCTCTCCCAGTTGTGCCTGCAGCCAGGACCTCCCTCCAAGCCTTCTGGGCTCCTGGGTTACCGGGATAGTTCAGCCATGCTCTGAGAAGGGGCAGGAAAGGGAAAATCTGAACAGTCAGTGATCAGCTATGGTTAGAGGGAGAGGAAGGATTGGGCCAGGATACTGAGTTGGGAACCTCCTGAACACGATGCTTAGCAGATCCCCCAGAATTAGGTGGTACACAAGGGCTCATGCCGGCCATGCTCACAGAGCACAAGGCACTGGGCACTCACTCTCATGACTACCCCTAGTACCTGGGTGAAAAGAGAGAGGTGAAGAACAAAAGTGAAAGCCTCATTTGGATGGGAGAGATGGAGACTGGACCATGACCAAGGAGAGAGGAAGGTGGACAAGGAGGGGGACACTGAATATCCACTTGTAAAATAATGAAGGTAGACCCTTACCTACACCATATATAAAGTAAAAACAAGGATAGAAAAGCTAAAAGACAGCCTACAGAATGGAAGAATGTATTCACAATCCAAATGAGAATATATGAAGAACTCCCAACACTCAACACCAAAATACTACAACCCCATTCAACAATCAGCAAAGGACTTCAATAGACACTTCTGTAAAGAAGATATGCAAATGGTCAATAAGCACCTGAAAAGATGCTCAACTTCATTAATCATTATGGAAATGGAAATGAAACCCACAATGAGATACCACTTCATACCCTTTAGGAAGTCTGAAATTATTTTTAGTGGAAAATAACAAATATTTAACAGGATGTGGAAAAATTGGAACTCTTACAAATTGCTGGTGAACATAAATTGGCATATCAATTTGGAAAACAGATTTGTGGTTCCCGAAAAAGATAAAAGCACAAGTACCATAGTATCCAGGCTATATATATATATACACCATATATATCCTGGCTATATAACTAAAAGAATTGAAAACAGGGATTTGAACAGATACTTGTGAGCGAATGTTCATGGCACCATTATTCACAACAGATGTAAGAAAGAACTCAAATGTCCATTAACAGACAAATGGGTACACAGAATGTCCCATATACATATAATACAATATTATTTCATGGTACTGGTACCAAAACAGAGATATATGACCAAGTGAAGAACAGACAGACCCCCATCAGAAATAATACCACACATCTACAACCATCTGATCTTTGACGAACCTGACAAAAACAAGCAAAATGGGGAAAGGATCCCTATATTAATAAATGGTGCTGGGAAAACTGGATAGCCCATAAGTAGAAAGCTAAAACTGGATCCCTTCCTCACACCTTATACAAATTTATTCAGAATGGATTAGAGACTGAGGTTAGACCTAAACCATAAAAACCCTAGAAGAAACCTAGGCAATACCATTCAGGACAACAGCATGGGCAAGGATCTTCATGTCTAAAACACCAAAAGCAACGGCCACAAAAGCCAAATTGACAAATGGGGATCTCATTAAACTAAAGAGCCTCTGCACAGCAAAGAAACTACCCTCAGAGTGAACAGGCCAACACTACAGAATGGGAGAAAATTTTTGCAATCTACTCATCCCGACAAAGGGCTATATCCAGAACCTACAAAAGAACTCAAACAAATTTACAAGAAAAAACAAACAACCCCATCAAAAAGTGGGCCAAAGGATATGAGCAGACACTTCCTCAAAAGAAGACATTTATGCAGCCACAGACACATGAGAAAATGCTCATCATCACTCGCCATCAGGAAATGCAAATCAAAACCACAATGAGATACCATCTCACACCAGTTAGAATGGCATATCTTTAAAAAGTCAGGAAACATAGGTGTTGGAAGGATGTGGAAAAAGGAACACTTTTACACTGTTGGTGGGACTGTAAACTAGTTCAACCATTGTGGAAAACAGTGTGGCGATTCTCAAGGATCTAGAATTAGAAATACCATTTGACCCAGCATCCCATTATGGGTTATATACCCCAAACGAATACAAATCATGCTGCTATAAAGACACATGCACACGTATGTTTTTTGCGGAAACTATTCACAACATAGCAAAGACTTGGAATCAACCAAATGTCCATCAGTTGACAAGACTGGATTAGAAAATGTGGCACTATATACCATGGGTACTATCAGCCATTAAAAAAGGATGAAATTCATGTCTTTCGTAAGGCATGATCGCAGCTGGGAAACCATCATTACTCAGCAAACTATCACAGGAACAGGAAAACCCAAAACACCACATATTTCTCACTCATAGATGGGAATTGAACAAATGAGAACACTTGGACACAGGAAGGGGGAATAGATCACGAGCACGGGGCGCTGTTGTGGGGTGGGGTGCGGGAGGGATCAGTTAGGAGATATACTAGATGTAAGATGATGGTTTAATGGGGTGCAGCACACCAACATGGCACATGTA